AGTGGTTTGGTTTGTGAATAGGAAGCACAAGATTGAACTACTGAGGCAGGCAAAGAAGCTGAGGGGGACAGGAATGTACGTCAATGAGCATCTTATCAAAAAGAATGCAGATATAGCAAGACAAGCATGTATACTCAAAAAACAGCATAAAATACAAGCAACACGAACTAGAAAATGTAAAGCGATGATACGGAGGAACGGAACTCCAGAGGAAGCCAAAGTTATCATGATCAGAGATCTGAAAGACCCGTACAAATGATGAATTATAATCATCTCACAGCTTGTCCTGTTATAATGCACTATGGGAGATATTGATGACAGTACATTGGTATGATTTGAATGTGTGACTGAGCATTTTACATGAACTAGACTTTACTAAATGACAGTCTTTAACAAGGATTATTTATTCCCATTCAAAGACATAGATGATGAGAAGTTCACGGATAACATAGATGGTGTGGGGGACCATTCATACAAACTGTGTAGCAAGTATGAACATCTGACTTTTAAAACATTTGACCACACAGAACATAAAATACACGAGTTCGGAAATGACATTGACCCAGAAATTCACTTCTACCATAACATTAACCACAATTGTGACACAGAGAAACATTGCAATAATAATGTGAATATGGAAGGTGCTTTATCAATAATACACTTTAACAGTAGAAGTCTCTATCGTAATTTACCAAAACTCAAGGATTATTTAAGTAAATTTAGTAAATTTGATGTCATTGCTGTGTCTGAAACTTGGCTTGATGATGAGAAAGTTTATGATGTTGGACTGAATGGAAATGAGCTGTTTACAGTTAATAGGAACAATAAAATAGGAGAAGACGTTGCTCTGTATGTTGATACACATTTGAAATGCAGTATAGTCAAAAGTATATCAAATGCTATAGATAACAAATTGGAATGTATAACTATAGAAACAATCGAAAAAATATATTAATCAGCTGTGTATATAGAATATCACCTGTGAATATAGAACATGATAGCTAATGATAAATTAGCTATTTTTGATAAATTGAATGATAATAAGGTACAAATTGTATGTGGAGATTTTAATATTGATTTGTTAAATCTAAATAGACATAAAAGGACAACGGATTTTATCAGTACAATGTACGGCAACAACCTATTCCCCAGTGATTACAAAACCAACAAGAATAACAATGGACGCTGCCACATTGATCGACAATATATTCACAAAAAGAATTGAAAGCAAAATAGTAGATGGGTTGCTCATTAACGATGTAAGTGATCATCTTCCAGTCTTCACAATCCATCAAAAATGTTTAAATGTAAATAATTAACACAGATTAAACACTTCTAAAGTAAGTAGACATAGAACTCCAGTACCAATTGCTACTCTCAAGGTGGACTTAATGAAATAAAACTGGACCAAGGTGTATGTAAGAGATGAACCAATATTATCAGAAATTATTGAAGTGATACAGGAATAACACTCAAAGAACATGGAGTGTGCTAAATAACATCATTAAAAAGGGCGCAGGAAGAGCACTCCAGATTATTTTGTAAAAAAAGACAAAATAATTTAATAAAACAAAAGAAACACATACAAAACCAACACCAAACCCATTTTCATGCTACAGAAAAAAGCTATAAGAATTATAGGTCAATCAGACTACTATGAACCAACCAATAAACTATTTATTAAATTACATGCTTTAATATTCAGTGACCTAGTCGACCTTCAAACTGCACAGATAATGTACAAAGCACAAAATAATTTACTACCAAACTGTATTCAGAAGCTGTTTGCAATTAAAGAGAGCAAATATGGACTTAGGGGAACATATATGTTTATGTATCACTGTGTTATTTATGTTGTATATCTGTCAAAGGGGTATGTTCATAGAATAATTGTGATAAGAAATTAAGAATGTGTAGCTCACTTTGCAATTAAAAAAAAGTTTAAATATAAGGTGGTAAGCACTAATGATCATCATTATGTATGAAATGTTCTGAAATGTTCATTGTTTTTCTTTCTTTTTGGATATTACTCTGTATTGTTTAAATGCAGGATTGTATATATTTATATGATATAGAGTAATTTTATGGGTGTAAACACCTTGATAAACCAAAATAAACATATTAATTACAAATAATAATTAATTACAGAAGCACTTGTCCAAAGTGCTTTGTTGTCTTCTCAGAAAATTTATCCTAACTAGTACAATGAGGTTAGAGTACAAACTACCCCTGAGCTCAGAATACTGCTAGAAACAAAATCCTGTGTTGATACCAAGAAAAAAGATACAGAAGTAAAAACAGTGCAATGCAAGACATTTCAATACGTACCTGAGTGCTGTTTTCTTTTGGTATGGTTTTTAGTATTTTTACCATTTTGCTATTATTGACTGTATTGTGTCTCATCAGCTGTGTCAATGTGACTCATGTTCAAAAGCAAGTCTGCAAGTGCCCCCTCTCTGAAGCCTGCTGTGACTGCAATAGTAGTGGCAAGAGTAATACTGATAAATATTCTACACTGTGTTGGGCTTTGTCTTTTTTCAGAATTTTGAAGATGTCTTATAACGTTGGTCAGTGTAGCACACCTGACCTTCCTCTCCATATAGAGGAGTGATTCTTTATTATTATTATATAACACAAAAATATTACAGGCAAAGACACGTTAAAAAGAGTATTCAGTTGAAGTCATATACATTTTAGCTTGTCGGTGTTAAAAAAAAATGATGTTTTTGTTGAAGATGTAGTGGATAAATTAATATTACTAAAAATCAATGGATTAACAATAATAATAATAATAATAATAATAATAATAATAATAATAATAGAAGCACCAGGACAAAATAGACTCAGAATGAAGTACACTTGCCAGTTAACACTAAGAAGACAATAAGCAACAACAGAAATCAATTTATTATAGAAATATTTGAGGTACACTTGATTTTTAACACTAAGAAGACTAAATTATAGAAATAGAATTCTATTTTATTTTTTTACATCTGAAGGAAATTTCATCACTTAAAGCAAATAAAGTGTATTTGAATTTCTGCTACAAGATACATACACACAAACAATAATTCACAAAATTTAATTAAAGTAATAAAAAGAGAAGCAATGCAGAACATACATTACAGTGGCCATCTCTAATAAAGACAAAAGCATATCATAGAGTCACAATTAAATAAATCATCAAAGTAATATGTTCACAGTTGGGAAGCAGTCAGAAGGTCGCTGGTTCAATCCCCTGAGTCTACAGTACATGACTGATGTGCCCCTGAGCAGGCACCTAACTCCCAACTGCTCCCTGGGCGCTACAGATAGGGCTCCCCACCATTCTGGGCAAAGGTACTCATTGCCCCCTAGTGTGTGTCTTCACTAGTATGTATGTGTTATTTCACTGCACGGATGGGTTAAATGCAGAGGTGAAATTTCCCCATTGTGGGACTAATAAGGGTCACTTAATCTTAATCTGAAGAAGCTTCAGGTAAAAACACAGATCTACAACTGAGGCCAAAATTACATGATATACAGTCCCCAAGAGGAAAGTTGGTACATATAATTGATCAACAGAAAACAAAGAAAGTACAAAACATTGGTTATTATAACTGAGACAATAATAAACAAAAGTGATAATATATGTGCATAATAAATCAGTTTAGGAAACAAAGATAAAACCTGATGTGTAAGGAGTAGTTGATGTTGTTAGAACCCAGGACATTCCTTGCATGCACAAGAGAGAATGGAAGAAAGTTAACTATGAACTTATGAGTAATACACATGTAGCATAACACGAATCAACAACCAGGAAAACAAATACTTAAAACAGCATGAACAGTATTACAGAAATGGTTTTATTATAAATATATGTTCTGTGGTGTCAGAGCAGCTCAGAACAAATCACCAGCAAAGCAGGCAAAAACTTTTGATGACTAAGAGGGCTGGTCAATAGTGTCAGCCTTCAGAAGATTCTTTTTAATTTTGGTTCAGATACATCTGATCTGTGGCCATGTGACTTGAATAAGAACACTCAAATTGCAATTCTTGTGGGTTTAACATTGAGCATACACCATCATTCAGCATAGAAACTGGAAGTTTAAAGGAGGCAGAGGTACACCATATTGCCAAAAGTATTCACTCACCCATCCAAATCATTGAATTCAGGTGTTCCAATCACTTCCATTGCCATAGCCTAGGCCACGTAAAATGACAGCAGGTGAATGACAGGGTGAGCGGATGCTGAGGTTGTCAATTGCTACAGACCTCCAAACTTCATGTGGCCTTCAGATTAGCTCAAGAACAGCGTTGAGAGCTTAATGGAATGGAAGTTTCCAGGGCTGAGCAGCTCCATCCAAGCCTTACATCACCAAGCGCAATGCAAAACCTTGAATGCAGTGGTGTAAAGCACCGGCACTGGACTCTAGAGCGGTGGAGACGTGTTCTCTGGAGTGACGAATCACGCTTCACCGTCTGGCAATCCGATGGACGAGTCTGGGTTTGGCAGTTGCCAGGAGAACAGTACTTGTCTGACTACATTGTGCCAAGTGTAAAGTTTGGTGGAGGGGGGATTATGGTGTGGGGTTGTTTTTCAGGAGTTGGGCTTGGCCCCTTAGTTCCAGTGAAAGGAACTCTTAATGCTTCAGCACCAAGAGATTTTGGACAATTTCATGCTCCCAACTTTGTGGGAACAGTTTGGGGATGGCCCCTTCCTGTTCCAACATGACTACGCACCAAAGCACAAAGCAAGGTCCATAAAGACATGGATGAGCGAGTTCGGTGTGGAAGAACTTGACCGAGTCCTGACCTCAACCCAAAAGAACACCTACGGGATGAATTAGAGTGGAGACTGTGAGCCAGGCCTTCTCGTCGAACATCAGTGTCTGACCTCACAAATGCGCTTCAAGAACAATGGGCAAAAATTCCCATAAACACACTCCTAAACCTTGTGGAAAGCCTTCCTAGAAGAGTTGAAGTTGTTATAGCTTCAAAGGGTGGGCCGACATCATATTAAACCCTATGGATTAAGAATGGGATGTCACTCAAGTTCATGTGGGTGTGAAGGCAGACAAGCAAATACTTTTGGCAATAGCGTATGTGCATCCATCAACAAGCATGTTCCACAAAATCTATGTGCTAGTAATCCAAAGACTCAAAATGTGAAATCCAAACAAAGTAGAGAAAAACAGTAAAACAAACAAAAAAAAGCAGCACTGGAAAGAAATAACTGGTGCTCATTGTACTCTGGTACAATGGAAGGTGATCCAAATCCAAATTAAAATTTTATTTATTTATTTAAAATCTATTTATCCATTCTTTTTTTCAAAATAGAACATTGTATAATTCATGAATGTCGTACTTTTAGGATCATCTATCTGGTCACAAACTGGCTGTTTTAAGTGGAAAAATATGGTGAAAAGATTCATCTATAGCACTGGCTGAGGTTTCAGGCCATTAACACTGGGTGTTACACTGGGTGTTACACTGGGTGTTTTAGTATAAGCCACAGGTCATCTACTGTAGACAGTTTACTTTGTTTCTTTTTTTTTGGATTTAATTTTCCTGATAAGATGTATATTATTAATGCATTCTTACCAAGTACAATTATGAACGTGCTTGTGTTCAAACTTGGTGTTCGTTATGGACAATCCATGACTAGCACAGGAATCCAAAAACAATTCACCATTCAAGTTTAGATCAGGCAGGCCCTGATCCCTATCACCCCCTCCATGTTTCCTAGTCACTGCAAACATCAGCATCATCTCCTATCAAGACTACGGAGTCTTTAGATGGGGCTCTTTCCAGAACCCACCCACTCACTCCAAGAAGGCTGAATACTCCAAACTACTAGGATCCAGTTATTTGGTGCATAAGCACACACAGTCAGAGATTTCTTCCTTGCAATTTTACTTCACATTGACGCGACCCTCTCGTCCACCAGGACAAACTCCTACTGCACAGCAGCCAGCTGGGGGCTTGTGAGTATCCCCACACTCGCTCAGTGCCTCTCATCCTGTGCAACTCCTGAGTAGGAGAGGGACCATCCCCTATCAAGGAGTTTGGTTTCAGAGCCAACACTGTGGGTGGAGATGAGCCCAGCTATATCTAGTGGGTACCTCTGATCTTTCTGCACAAGCTCTGGCCCCTCCCCCAGTGAGGGTACATTCCATGTGCCAAGGTCCAGTTTCCAGTGCAGGGGTCCATGCTGCCATTTCCTACTGCCTATATGGCACTGCACAGGTCCCCCATGCTGGACCTTTTGGGTGGTGGCTCCTTGTGGTCACCACATGTTGCCTTTTTGAGCTGAGCCTGGACAGGTGACATGGGCTCCATGGCCAACAGGTGCTTGCCAAGGAATACTAACCCTAGCCTTTCTCCAGGGGTAGGTCCCAGTAACTCTCTCCTGGGAAGGGTACAGTCTGTCCCTTAATCATAGAGGATTTAAAAGCATCAAATCATGCATGTGTCTTAAAATTTGAAAGTCTGAAGCTCTTCCCACACTGAGCAATAATACAGTTTCTTTCAGGAGTGAATCCGTTGGTGACTCTTAAGGGCACCACTTTCTCTAAAACTTTTCCCACATTCAGAGCAGTAATACGGTTTCTCTCCAGTGTGAATGCGCTGGTGTCTTTGAAGATTACACTTTACAGCAAAACTCTTCCCACAGTCTGAGCACTGATATGGTTTCTCTCCTGTGTGAATGCGCTGGTGTATTTGGAGATTGAACTGTGCAGTAAAACTCTTGCCACACCCTAAGCAGTAATACGGTTGCTCTCCTGTGTGAATGCGCTGGTGTGTTTGGAGACTACGCTGTTGACTAAAACTCCTACCACATTCTGAGCAGTGATATGGTTTCTCTCCTGTGTGAATACGTTGGTGTTTTCTGAGGTCACCACTTTGTCTAAAACTCTTCCCACACTCTGAGCAGTGATATGGTTTCTCTCCTGTGTGAATGCGCTGGTGTATTTGGAGATTGCTCTGTGTAGTAAAACGGTTTCCACACTCCGAGCAGTGATACGGTTTCTCTCCTGTGTGAATGCGTTGGTGTGTTTGGAGACTACGCTGTGCAGTAAAACTCTTCCCACACTCTGAGCAGTGATACGGTTTCTCTCCTGTGTGAATGCGCTGGTGTCTTTGGAGATGACTCTGTGCAGTAAAACTCTTCCCACACTCTGAGCAGTAGTGAGTTCTTTTTTTGCCTGTAATCTTTTGTGTTGGTCTGCAAGGTGTGCTCATGTGAAGATCAGCAACAGAAGATGTTTTCTGAGTACCGGAACGTCTGGACACCATATTCTCACATTCAGCTGTTCTTAATTTCATCAGTTTCTTGATACGTTGGTGGATGTTACTTAGACATTTGCAGGAAAGCACTTGCTCATTTGGAGCAGGAGATCATTCTAGAGGAATAAAAAAAAAAGACACTAGTTGATCAGAAATTATAGCAGATAATGAAAAAATTGAAATATATTTGTGTACAAAACATTTTACAGAGATAGTAAGTTATAGAAGACATAACCTAAGTATAGTGAATTTTTTTTATCAAATTATGTATCCAGTATTTTTATTTTTATTATTATTATTATTATTATTATTATTATTATTATTATTGATAAGGTGCTTCTAAAGGCACAAAATGAGTCACTCTTGTCTCTCTGCAGGACATCATTATTAGCTACATTCACCAAGGCATTATAGTATGTATGGTAATGACAACGGTGTGAAACATGTAATCTCTTGGCCCCTAACCTTGATCTAAATGGCCAGAGTTCAAAGAAATCTACATTATTCGACAGAGCACAGGAGGCATCCTCAGATGTTGATGACAAAAATCTAAGTTTGCACTGTTCAAGGCAGTCAAAGCTGCTTAATACAAATACAGAGATACAAATACAATTATTCTCAAATTAAATGTTCCTCCACTTGGAGGCAACTCCAGACATTTACTAAGTTAAAGCCACCAATATTGCAGCTACACCAAACCAGCTGAACAACGTTTATTCAAAATGGAAAAAAAAAAACCTTCCCCCCGCAGGTACATCACCTGGGAGCATCTTACTTACTTGCCTTACTACCCCACTTATTTGACTGTTACCTCACTTATCCCTTTCTTTGCCAATATACACCCTTTAACTGCTACTGCATGCAACATTTTAACTTAAGACATATACTATACACAATGTAAGGTTTAGACATATTAACTGTGTGTATGAGTCAGTGATGGTAGGAATGCATGTTTTGTTTTATTTGCTACATGTAAATATTTGTCTGATACTGTGCACTGTTAGCTCCTGTAACCAAAACCTAATTCCTTGTATGCGTAAACATGCCTGGTCATTAATGCTTGATTCTGATATTTCTAAAAGGCACTTACATTTCATCTACATTTAGTTTACATTTCATCTACGTTCCATTTACAGTTCATGTTTAGTGGCTTGTTTGCATCTACTCGTTACTATGGCCATTTATTAATTATAAAACGAGGAACTTCTCAAAAAATTTGTTTTTTAACACAAGTTCTCTTTTTATAATTAGTGCTCCCAGCAGAGCCACATGATATGAAGTATCTTATGGTAAGATGTGGTAACTGTCAACCACTAGTGGCTTATATACTTTTTTCAATCAAATACATGTGTGGATTTAGTGGTGAAGTTTCGATGAGTGAAGGTAGTACTGTCCCCTCAGTAATTTGTTTTGCCCTTGTGTCCAACTGATCCTGTCACATGGACTGACTTCCAAAGGTTTGTACGTCAGTTTGGAAACATGTCAATCTACACATCCTTTCATGTCAAGATTTCATTTTATAAATCAGTACTTTTACATGAATTTTAAATGTAAAACCATTTTAAGATTAAATCTATGTTTGAATAATAAATATATATAAACATGGCTCCTGGTCTCTTTACTCCTCTCCTCTATCTGTTCTCTTTTCCACAGTGTGATGTATCACTTGTTTTAAGACCTCTGTCATCAAACCAATTCATAAAAAGTAGATGATCTCCTGCCTGGATGCCTACAGAGCAGTTGCTCTGAACTCTGTAGTTATAAAGTGCTTCAGACGCTCATAGTACAGTGCATTACAACCTTGACCAACACTCTCCACTCGTGTCTGGCCTCATCTCAAAACAATGATGATTCCACATACGAATCTGGGATCATAATGAAGCTTTAACACTCTGGAGTCGAACAAACAAAACCTGTTACCATGAAAAATAATGTGGTTAATCAGCGCAATCTGACACTTAAAATATGATGCAAATCTAGCCTTCAAGTGAATTATTTCTTGGACCGAATTTATTTAATGTTCTTACTTCTGGGCTGCCATATTCAAATATGGATAAACTCTTACATTTTAAATAACAGTTCCTTTACCCGGTGGAGGCTCCAGATCATTACTAACTACTAGCCAAAAGCCTCAGATGTTGCAAACCAGCTGAATATCTTTTACTTAAGAGAAGAAAAAGATGTTCTGCCTCCCTCCTGCTGAACTAGGCAGTCTACAACACCCTGTCTGCAGCCTCTTCACACCTCATCTCTGTCAGAAATTAAGGTATAATTTTCTTATAATGAATTCACCTTTCAGGAATGTGAAAGCAGTGTGAACTATGCTCAGAGAGATATATGGAACAGTGTTCTTCAAACTTGACAGCACCCTGTCTGCAGACTATTCACACCTCATCTCTGTCAGTTCTCACCTGTAAAGACCCTACGACCCCCCTCCTTACCATCCTCCCCTGTCATAAGCACTGAACACCAGGTGAAAAGACTAGATTGTGGCTGGCCCTGGTGATGTCTCACCTGCAAAAAAGTGGGTGACCATGACCCTCTTGGCCTCAGAACTAGTGCTTCACATGGCTACATGACCTATCCTTCAGACACAGACACACCACAACAGCTATGAAAAAAGCCAAACAGTCTCTGCATTTCTTGAGATGGTTAAAGTGAAACTGGGATGCCTAAAACACTGCTGGTTCAGTTTAGACAGTCATTATCAAAAATAAAATAAGCTCACCAAGCATAAGTTACAGTGAACTGTGTGATGTGAAAAGAAAGCCACTGGCTACTGGTTCTCCGCCCTCAACAACCAGTATTCATCTAGGATGTGTAAGAAATTGGATCCATTGATATAATCTATGGTCTCACTGAACTGAAGCTGTGGATGTTTCATATTTAAAGTTGGCAATTAAACCAGCATCACCTTCTGGAGGGGAAATGTAGATATTTGAAGTAAAATATGTAGTTTAACATAAAATCTAGTTTTAAGTGGTGCAACATTTGGATTTAGCAACATGAAACCTAACACTTTACTCACCTGCATCTGAAATTACATACAGGGTTCACCCAAGAGAACTTAACCAGAGCCCCCCACCACCCAAACTTAATCAGGATCCCTATACAAATTTAACAGCAACCCCCTAAACTGAACATCAAACTCACACCAACCAACCCCCCCTCACCCAAATTAACCCGCCACCCCCTTTTTTTTTAACCTTGACAACACCCTGCCTGCAGCCTCTTCACATCTCATCTCTGTCAGCACTCACCTTCTAAAGACCTGTGAGCCCCTCCCCACCTCCCTACCTCCCTCTCCCATCACCACAACACTCAGACCTTTAGGTAATTTGCTAAACAGTTATTAGATTATTACTTCACTTCAAAATGTCCAAGCTTTAAAATTTCTACAAGAAGATGAACAAAATTAAGAAAGAGTAAATAAATGTTGTTTTGTCACTTAAAAACAGTTAAAAAAAATAATAAAAATAAAAAACAGGAATAGTAGTTACACCACCTGTCTAGCAGGAGAATCAGTAAACAGAATCCTAGAACCAATCCGAACTTACTCAGTATTTGGTCTTATTTTCAGGGTTGAAACAACAAGCATACATGAATTAGATATAAAGTAGCAAAACAGTCACTGAACCTACCATTTCTGACCAAACGCATTTAGTATATTTTTTCTAAAAACACTCTACATCTTTCAGCATTTATCAGCCAACTCAGCCCAGCAGACACACAGGAGTTAACAGACTATGAACCCGCTTTTAGAGCAGTTTTACACACTTTCAGTGCAGATTTAGTAAACCACACAGATGCAGAGAGCGCTCACCTCGCAGGAGAATCAGTAAACAATTAAACTGGAGTCTATCAGACCTCGCGCGCGCGCTAAAACCAATCCGAGCCACGTGCTCTCCTGCCCATACCTTTCTATAGAACCTCTCTGCTTTGGCCGTAAAGCAGCTACTACGACCAGAAACTGCGTCAGCAGAAAGTGGAACTGCCGCAAATGTCTTAAAGAACTAGCGCCTATTTAATGAACATCACTAAGACTGACTAAATTACAGCTGTATTACATAAATAAACAGCTCTTTACCTTCAACAGATCAGCTCCTGTTTCTCTCTATCTCTGTAAGAGTGAGTTATAAACAGTGTAAACAGAGTGAAAAAGAGATAAACAGCTCTTTACCTTCAGCAGATCAGCTCCTGTTTCTCTCTATTTCTGTAAGAGTGAGTTATAAACACAGTGTAAACAGAGTGAAAAAGAGATAAACAGCTCTTTACCTTCAGCAGATCAGCTCCTGTTTCTCTCTATCTCTGTAAGAGTGAGTTATAAACAGTGTAAACAGAGTGAAAAAGAGATAAACAGCTCTTTACCTTCAGCAGATTAGCTCCTCTTTCTCTCTATTTCTGTAAGAGTGAGTTATAAACAGTGTAAACAGAGTGAAAAAGAGATAAACAGCTCTTTACCTTTGTTAGGTTACCTATAATGAATATGCAATTTCTTTGAATGCTGCTCAAGTGTGACATAATCCTTTGGAGATTCTGGGTGTGGTTACACTTAAGTAAAAGAAGCATGCAGTTTCACATATAAAACATTATTGTTTCCATAGTGACTATTACAAATGACTATGGAGCTTACAGATCATTATCCCTTAACGTATACCATGATAATGGTTACATACAATAAGTTGAATTCCTGAACCATTCTAGTCACATAAGAAGTAGGAACTACTTAGACAAAAGAATTAAATTGTTAAGACAATTTCGAGGTTATACGTCACACTACTATTTCTAAACAATGCTTACACGAATGGTTACATAATAACTCTAAATAACTAATAAACTCTAATAACTAATAAAATAAGTGAGTACATAATCATCAATAAATCTGTAGATATGTTGGCAGAAACTCTATGATTAAAGTATACATAGTCACACAAGCTACAAACTTTAGAATCCTACTTCTAATAACACTACAAGAAGACTTGCAATAAAAGCAGATCTATAAGATTAACGGAAACATATGGGTTGCTTCTCAAACAAAAGAAATGAAAAATTATATAATGGGTGAAATGAACATAGTTGTGAATGATCAAAGATCAATACAATAACCTAGATCAGTGAAGAAGGGTTACAATTCAAGAATCAAAGTAACTACTAGAATATAAAAGAATATAGTGTAGAAACTTTGGTATTAATTCCCTTCGGCAGGGATTAATCAATTCACTGACAAGGCAACATGTTAACAGTAACAGAGGTGTACTTCACAGTTTGATAAAGGAAAGGCATTTGATTGATACTTGATTAAAGATCACATTGTGGATACTTTGCCAGAAAGCAGGGCTCTCAGGAGCCTAGCCTCTGCACAGACCCCAAATTTATGATACTGAAGGAATGCACTTAAGAGTATCTGGCCACACCGAGGGGTCTGCTCAGGGATTCGTGAGGTCTCAAAACTCCCCTCACCCAGAGTTGATTGGTGGGCCATCTTTGGCCTTTGTTTTAGGTTTGATTTCTCTCTTTGTGGGGGAAGGTGAGATGTATGGGTGTGAGTGAGAGGGAAAAGAATTTTCAAAAGTCACAATTTATAAGTATCCCAAAATTTACTTCAGTGATGTCCAAATGTCTGTTCAGGATTGACGTTCCATTATGTTGCCCTTGAACTGTATCTTCAGACTTCTTCAGAGTCTTCAGACCTCTGGGTCAAGTAGGTCTGTTCTGAGGTGAGCCACCCCCCCTCCCCACTTCTGCACCAGGTTGCCAAAGCGGGTGGGGGGGGGGTAAATGGGGGTTGTGAGACGTGCAAAGCACGCTACAAAAGGATGTAAAAAAAGGACAACATAAAACAGGGATACAAATAATGTGGTTGGGGTAAGGTTAATTTGAATAACATAAAAAAATGGATTATTGTGACTGGAAGTGGAATTTAGCTAGTCTTTTGAAGGAATTCCAAGTTCTCAAATTGGGTGAAAGACAGTTGCAGATACAAGGCCCTCTGTGTGAAATTGTAAATTGTTAGTGGCATTCTGAAGAAAGCAGGATGTATGTTGTTGGAAGAGGTGGGTAATCCAGGTCCAAAAAGTAAAAATCCTCCCCAGGATTTTCTTCCAACTGCTTGACTTCTTGAATTTGCTCAAACCAGCAGCAAAGGTGTTCAGGCAGTTGGAACAAAATCAGGGGGAGGTTTTACTTTTTGGACCTGGATTACCCACCTCTAGTTGTTGGAAGATCTGGTGGAATAGTAATGGATTTCAGAGTTATATTGTAAAATATATTTGAAACAGTCTGGGAGAATGTTTTGTTTAAATAAAAGAATAATTTGGCTGATTTGAAAAAGGTTAATTTCATACACATTAAGAATTTTTAAGTTCAAAATCACCCAGAACCTGCACAACATGAAAAATATTACCACAGCGTGATCTTTCTAGCTGAGTTTCTCTTAATAAGTACACCAAGACATTTTGTACAGTCGACATGGGGCATATTGTTGTTGGACATATGTTCTGACAGGAGAATATCAATTCCTTTTTTGTTTCTTGGAGTAAAGGACATGTAAGAGCTCTTTTCTTGATGCTGACAGATCTGAAGCATTTCTTCAAATTTTAGCTCATCAAGCCCTGCCTTTGGGCTTGAGGTTATTTACTATGTCTCTCACCTCTTCTAATGTAGACTTTCCCATAATGCCTTATTTCACCAATTTTACTGGTAAAAGTACATTAAGGCTGCATCCAAATAGTTGAATGAGACATCTTTTTTTTCCACTTACCTTGGTTTTATCACATCAGCTCTGCTGATATATTGAGTGAGGCCAGAGGAGACAGACCAATGGAAACAAAGAGGAAAGGAAGATGTGAGTGAGTGTGAACTGCTGCTGAGGAAGAATGATGGAACAAGGTGTCTCGAGTTTACAGGATAAAGTTTTCAGTCCAGTAGAGAAAATCTCCACTCTTGAATCCTGCAGGTTATTGTTCCTGAGGTCCAGCTCTTTCTGGGAGGACACTGCTGATTGTAGACCTGATCCCAATTTTCACAAGCTTTTCCCCACAAGAACACAGAGAGATAAACTGCCAAGAAACAGAAATTATAGCAGATTATACAACAAGAAATCTATGATCTAGTTTACATCCACATTTGTTCCACTCAATTGAGACCATGTCTGTTCCACAAATAAAAAAATAGTTCAGAAAACCTTGAAAGGTTTGTTCTTCTAATCTAATCAACATCAGCCTAGTTTTATCAATGTGCAGTTCAATGTGCAGGCTTCATTCCTGCACCAACTGGTGGCTGATGTCAATAAGGCTGCGAAATAAAGGAGAATTTAGACTTGAACCATTAAGCCATCCTACTTCAACTCGGAGCAGATGTGGAAGATGTGAACAATGTTAACCATGTTAAACCATATTAATGGTAATGTTTTAGCCACAACTTTAACAACTGCTGGCTTCACCAAAACATTTACTCTAGAGACAGATGCTAGTCATCATTCTAATATAATAAGGCCAGTAGCCTACACTAGTCACTTAATGAGGAGATCTGACCACACAATATGGAGAATAATAGCTTCATGAAGTTTGAGTCATAAGTCCTGATAAATGACATGTTCTTGTCTATTATTACTGTGGACTGTCATTTCATTTATTTTGTGATTGGATTTTGCATGTTGGATCTGATGATGTAATCTGTGAGTGCTGTTACATTTTGAGGCATGATTCCATAATGGCAATTAATGTGTTCTTATTCCCTTCTTAAGATAGATCACTTTATTAATCCCAGAGGGAAATTCTTCTATTGCAGCAGTACAAAGCATAGTAGTACTAATTATACATAGTAGTAATAATTAATTCGAACGAACGTATTTGTGATCACGATTTTCTCTCTCGTTTTCTCTTGGTCATGTTTTGTTTTTAACTGAACTCTTGTTGTTTGTGTTTTGATAACAGTTCCCTGAGACCGTCTGACAGGTTTTGATGTGTTAGATTGATGAGATAATGAACAGAGATGCTCATCAGGTCTGATTTTGATTTGGGGGGTTATGAGGAAACTGCAGCTCCTCTTCACAGCGAACGGCCCATGGTGTTTCTGCTTCCAGTCAAGCTGCGGTGTTAGGGAACCATCACACAATTACCGGACGAAATGATCAGCGTTTCAACATCCTTACATTAACATATCTACATTAAACTCTCTCGCCATTTGACCTTATCCCACATGAATGTGTCTGTGTGTGTTTAATTTGAGTTTGTTGAAACGTTGACGCTGAGCATTTCCTCCTGTAATTGTGTAATGATCTCTAACACTGCAGCTTGTCGCGGGAGCAGAAACAGCGCTAAGCGTCTCTATCTCTGTTAAATATGATCATTAGACAGTGCAGTTTAGTGAAGATTGTGGTTGTAGTTTGTTGTCTTCCTTCATTTCACCACCCAACTGCAGCTGCACTGATGAATCTGAGGGCCGTTCGCTGTGAAGAGGAGCTGCAGTTTCCTCATAACACCCCAAATCAAACTCAGACCTGATGAGCATCTCTGTTCATTATCTTATCAATCTAACTCATCAAAACAAATCAGACAGTGTCAGGGAGCATTTAGTTACTTCTGCACCGGACAAAAAACATGACCTGTATCTACAAAAGGCAACATTTTCTACAATTAAATCACGAAAAAACTGAATTACTGATTGTTGGTACAGAAACTCAGAGAAAACTGATTTTTGAGAAACTTGGTTCTTCAGCTTCATCTACAAAACCTGAAGTACGAAACCTGGGTGTGATCTTAGACTCTGAGCTCTGTTTTACCCCACATGTAAACACAGTCACTAAAGTAGAAATATTGCTAAAGTTCGGCCTTTTCTATCTCAGAGCGACGCAGTGAAACTTTTTCTTCTTGCTGGACTTCCTAAGAAAACTACACATCCCTTACAACTTGTACAAAATGCAGCAGCGTGCATC